ATTGCTCTCATTTCAAGTTTGGAGGGGCATCTTGCTTCTTTCCCCCTGGGACTAGCATGCAGAATTGCAACCATGCTGGTGACCGTGTTCCTTACAAGTCTGCAACAGAGCTCCTTCGACATCATGCAGTCCTTTTACTTTCCACTGCGGAGCAATGCAAAATACTGATCGCGCACCATGTCCAGCTCTGAATCTGTATGCACCACATACTCTGGTGGGTTTGGCATTTTCATGGTTTTGTCAGCAGTGTAGGAAATGGGAGTGGAAGTTTGAGGCTGACAATGTGACACATCATGATCTAAGGGTGTACTCCCACTCTGATTAAAAGACTTGGCAGTATTGTAGTCCGTATTTTCAACCTGTAACAAATGTGGGAGAAAAGAATATATAATCATCAGGCAAAGTAGTGTTTGAAAATACAGGCAGTAATTAGTTTTATAATATGCATTTACTTTTTGGCTGATAAAATCCCAAAGTTTCTTTCTCCGAAAGAAATTCTCAGGAGCAGGAAAAAGATCCTTCAGGTCATCTCGTGCAAAGCTTCTCAAAGCTTCTCAAAGCCTCTTCATCAATATTAGCAGCTGTAAAAAAAGAAAAAAAGAAAATATTGACTTGGACTTTTTAACCTTTAACTCTTAAAGATTTGACATTTGTTTGTCTTTGCATGGCTCTGTGATGGGAATTCTGGCCCCTTAAAAAGATCTGGTTCTAATAACCTACCTCACTAAAAAAGCCAGGCTCCCAAATCCTCAGAATTTTGTTGCCAAGATTAGTTTTACAGTACAAAATGTGAGTTAAAATTATTATTAATAGAAAAACATACTTTGCATTAAATATGTATTATTTCTATGGATATATATATATATATATATATATATATATATATATATATATATATATATTCAAAATGCAACACTCTTGCAGTGAATATTCTTCGTTATAGAGGCATGGAATAATTTTGTGGGAGAGTGCTTTGCTATTTACAATAATATTAGATTCAGAGCATGAGTAAAGCTTGAGAAGTCTTTGTCAACATCGTACTGAAAATAGTTACAGATCACATGCAACTATTTTAATTCCTCATCAACTGTGTTTTGTATAAGCTGTCTCATTGAGCTGTCTGTTGCTCTTGTACTTGTAGGGCTAGATGGTAGTGGGCTGGCCATGTGGTAAGTAGCTGCTACGGCTACCCTGGGGAAGAGATTCTATAGTGACAACGTCTGATTTGTTGTAATTTTAATTACAAAATCTTTACAAGTAATTAAATTTAAAATTTAAAATGTATTTGCTGACAGACATAAAAACATGAGTATCATTTGAATTGAAATAAAACATGTACGATTCAAGGCAAAACAAATAAGAAAATAACTTTTATAGTTTCGTTCACTTGCATTATAATTTACTTTTGCAATCACAAAACTCTATCTTTGTATTATCAGCATAATTAAAATGCATCCATATTTTATTTTGTCTGCTGCGTCACTTGTGTGTCCAGCATGTGGTCTTTGTGGTGCAGGGGAACTGTTTGACCCGTGCCTCTCCCCTCCATACTTAAACCGGGCGTACACTGTGCGACTTTTTCACTCGCAGCGTTCAGCTTCAGCTCAAACTGTACGACTTCCTCGCAGAGCAGATCTCACGAGTCATGTGCTCACACTGTACGACCCAGTTCTCGCATGCGACCTGACTGCTCACACTGTACGTCTGGTAGCAACACGTCGGCCCTAAAAATGTGCTAAAAATAGCAGTTTTTACTCAACACGTCAGACTTTTTTGTCTTGCCTGTTGTCCTTCGGGAGTACTGCAGGAGGACACACAGGGATTTATGGGGGTTGGATGAGGAAAACGAAATAAAGAAAGTGAATCTGTGTTTTGTGATCAGTTTAATTTGACATGAACACGACAAACACGCTTTCTTGACAATCTTTGTGAGTAAAAAAACGTGTAGAAACAAAAACGAACAGCGTGTGTTATTAGGGAAATAGCGAGCGACCGGCCGGCGTTGATGCAGGATTGCGCGCGCATGCGCCGTGAGCGGTTCTGATACTTTTTGGATCGTAGCTGCTCGCAGCGCCGCTTCAACAGTGCGATACCCTCACGAGGGACGAGCGAAATATTAAACACACCAGAAGTCCCTGCGACCTCACGACTGCTGATCGGCAGCTGGTCACGTGGTGTTAATCGCCTCTCGTAACCCCCTGTACACTACACGACCGCTCGGCGCAAAACTCGCCCCGATGTCGTGGCTTCTCGCACGACTGGAAAATCGGCTCAAAAAAGTGAAAAAGTCGCACAGTGTACGCCCGGCTTTTACTCGCTACAGAGGAAGCAGCAGAAAGCTGAGCAAACAGGCTGTTTTGCAGGTAATTACTCTTTTAGTGGAACAGCAGGATTTTTATGGTATAACTCAGACATAATCTACATGAGCTATTGTGGGAAGACATTTAAAGTACATTTACTTACAGATACATGTATTTTTTATTCCATGTTACTTGGACAGGCTAAACAAGTTCATAGTTCTGCCTGTTCCTTTTTCAGTGAAACGAATGGATTATATGATATAACTCTGACTGAATAATTATCTGAGTATGTTTGAAAATAAATTTCTTACCAGTGTACAGATCTGACATTTGTTTGTCAGAACAGGACAAATCAGATTCAGTGTGCTTTCTGTCACCCTAAATCAGATCCATATCTGATGTTTTTATTACTTAAGTTTGTATGAACAGTACATTGTATACCACTTTTACATCTCTGAAGTGAAACAGATCACATAAGCACCTGAGGAAGTGGGACACAAAATGTAAACAATGGAGAAAACAAAATGATATATTTTGTGAGGTACTGGTTAGAGATAGTTGGGAAGCACTGATCTAGGTAATGCACCACAAGCATTTTTATTTTACAAGCTTGTTTGGCATCGAAATAATTAGAACCCTCTTCTTTTTCTGTCACACCTAATACATACATAAACACACACCAATTTCTATGTCACAGCTGATGCCTTCATTAAATCTAATAAAATCTATAGTAACTATAGTCTGGTGAATAGTGTCTAGTTTAGCTACATGTAGCTTAGCTGGAGTAATATAGTCTAACTCTGCCTGAACTGGTGACTTTTCTACTTCATTGTCAGCCAGACAAAATGTTGCTGCAGAGAAATGCCCAAGGTACTAACCCCACAATAGAAAATCATGTCCACATTTATTTCTCACAATCTCAAACGTCACACTAAAATTAAACTTTTAGCTCTGATTTAATTATTTCCTTATTGATATCAGTTTTCCCTTCATTGTAGGTAATCCTCGGGTGTCAGCAGGAGGAGGTGACCACCTGCATAACGGAGCACCCTGGTTCTGAGCCAGTTGCACCTTTGTGCAGCTCTTTGGGGAGACGATGCTCAGCAGGTTAAACAACTATAAAATTGATTTTGTTCGTAGTTTTTGTTTAGAACTCATACATGACCAGTTTTTCTTTCTTACACATGCCTCCGTGTGGTCAGGTGGTGTTGGTGTGATCTGGAAGGGCACACTCATGTCGTCATCTCCTTGTGCCGTCTCCAGGATCATGATGGGAGTTCTCTGCGCCTGTAAAGCAGGGGTATTTACTTCTGGGCCTGGAGGGCCGGTATCCAGCACGTTTTAGTTTTAACTCTGTTTCAACACACCTGATTTCAGTCAGCAGGTAATTAACAGGCTTCTGCAGAGCTGCTGCACAGGTAATTCAACGAGTGAGGGTAGGAGGGATCGGGAGATCAACTGGCAGATTGGTTCAGCGTCTGCAGTGACCAATCTGACCCTGGTGGGGATGAGTTACAAAGTAGCCACAGCTGTCCTGGGGCGGACTGACAGAGGCAAGGAGCGCAGGTGCCGCCGGTCCCTCTGACCACCACCAGTAATTAGGTAAAGGGGGTTAAGTGTCTTGCCCAAAGACACAATGACAGCGACAAACTGAGCGGGGCTCGAACCTGCAAGCTTCCGATTACGAGGCGAGCACTTTACTCCTGTGCCACCGTCACCACACAAATCTGTTTTATTTGCATGTTTTGCCAGTATGATAAGCAAATCTGATTTCTAAAGGCTGACACAAGTAAGGTTTCACCTAGAAAGAATGAATATTCGCCTTGTTTTCAGGTTTTTAGGTGACACTCCCGGTCGTATCTAAAATAGCTGAGAAGTGGGTGGTTAAACTCCTCACTGCTCACCTAGAAAACACCCAACCCTCATTACATCCATTGCAGTTTGGCTTTCGGGCACATCATTCCACAGATACTGCCCTGTGTATGTTAGTGGAGAACGTGCAGAGCTTGCTGGACAAGAGTTGCTGTGTTGGAGCTGTATTTTTAGATCTGAAGAAGGCTTTTGACTCTGTAAACCATCAGATATTGTTGTCCAGATTGACTCAGTTTAATATCTCCAGTCAGGCGCTTCAGTGGTTTGCCTCATATCTCTCACACAGGAAACAGTGTGTGGTGTGGGATGGGGTTAAATCTCCGTATTTAGACTGTGATACAGGAGTTCCTCAAGGATCTGTTCTTGGGCCTTTATTGTTCTCGCTTTTTATTAATTTACCTGAAGTCTGTCCAAATATATTTGCTCAAATGTATGCGGATGATGATTTTTCAAAATGCCCCTTAAACTTGAAGCAGTCAAATATTTTCCTGGATGGAGTTAAGCCAGGGGTGTCAAACTCAAACTCACACGAGGCCGAAATGAAACTCTGGGACGGAGTCGAGGGCCAAACTTAATATTTTTTGAAAAAGTGACGGCAAATTTGTACATTTTCTTTATCAACATATATGCAATTTTGAACCTTTAAATTTGGAAACAAACTTATTTCTGTATTAACACTGAATGTGGAATAAACAAATTACACACGAGCAAGTCAGTTTTAAATAAAAGGCATCAGTGGTATTCATTACTTGTGGTATAATCAGCATTTTTAAAATCTAGTCAGGATTTATGTTTTCTTGTTTATTCATTTTTCTTATGTTTTACTCTCCTTTTTTCTCCTGTAATACGTGTCATTGCTGCTGTGACATCTAGCTTTCCCCACTGAGGAACAATAAAGGGATTTTCACGGGCCAACAACAAAATAAAAATATCATTTTATCTTAAATGAAAATGCAACATCTCACCTATTAACTTTCATGTTTTGGAGCAGAAAAAGAGCATAAACCCAACATCAGCACGATTATAGATATTTACGAGGTTTACTCGTTTCATGCTCGTATTCGTCAAAAATGCTTTATCCGTACTGGATACTCGTCTGAAACAAGTATCCGACTCATCCCTGAAATAAACAATACACATATCAACTTCTGATGATTCCATATCAATTTCAGACTTAAAATAATATATTGATGTAAACCACAGCCACTTCCAGTTAAACCACGCCCACTTCTGGGTTATGCCACGCCCATTCCGAGTACAGATACAGATAATTTAGTTGGTTGAACAGATACAGATACAGATACAGATAGTGGTGTACTCGCTCATCCCTATTTCAAACCCTCCCAGCGGGCACGGGAGCTCATTCCTGGGCCGGAGCCGGCCGGCAGCAGCAGGGTATTCATAATTTGGCATTTAAGTCACTTTGGTATATAAGTCGCAGGACCAGCCAGACTATGAAAAAAAGTGTGACTTATAGTCCGAAAAATACAGTACTTAATTATAAATGATAAATGACCCGCACTTGTATAGCGCCTCTCAGAGTAAGGACTCCAAAGCGCTTTACACTACAGTGTATCATTCATCCATTCACACACACATTCACACACTGATGGTGATGAGCTACAATGTAGCCACAGCTGCCCTAGGGCGCACTGACAGAGGCGAGGCTGCCAAGAACGGGTGCCACCGGTCCCTCTCACCACCACCAGCAGGCAAGGTGGGTTAAGTGTCTTGCCCAAGGACACAACAGCATAATTCTCTGTCCGGAGCCGGGATCAAACCTGCAACCTTCCGATTACTAGACAACCCGCTCAACCTGTTGAGCTACTGCTGCTCCCCAATAGAGCTCTGGGTGTTGACGTCACTTCTCCCGGCATGCAACAGTTCAAATCGAAACGGCGCCATATTGGCAGGCAGAAGCCCGCAGCTGGACTATTTGTTATTGTCAGAAAACTCAATCAAACTGGAAATATGGTAGATTCCTGTTGTGCCCCAGGGTGCAGAACAGACGCGGAAGACATAAGGAAATTAGCCATCTACAGGATTCCCCAATATCCGGAGCGCCGCAAACGTTGGATCATAAAACGCGCTAGTGACCGGGCTAAAATGAAGCTGTGGGATCCCGAGAGTAAAGGTTTTCGCTTATGCAGCGACCACTTCATATCAGGTACTTAAACCAACATTTCCTCAACTGTGTATGGTATTTATTTTAAATACTTTTATTACGATTCTTAGTGGGCTTCCTGAACTTGTTTTGGCGTGGCTTTTTCTGTCTTATTACTCATAGCAGCAAGTAAACGTCACGTAAAACGGTGCCTCGTGTTTCTGCGTGCTGCCGTTTATGTGTTTTATAATCACAGCAATTAACCGGCTAAGCTGTATTTAATTTTTAAGCAATGGTTGATCAATTGTCAGATCACACATAAAAAGCACTTTGGATTGCTATTGTCTGTCTCACCGAGACAGATCTCAGACAGATCCTGAGACGCTCCTGCCTGACATATTTATTTTATTCAATGAAAAAAATCTGACTAGTGATTTCTCTTGGCGTTCAGTTTATACATTCAAACAGCACAGCACTCTGTTTAAACTACTTACGTGTAAATCTGTTATTTGTCCATCCATTTTCATCCGCTTATCCGGAGTCGGGTTACGGGGGCAGTAGCATCGAGAGGTCCAGACTTCCCTCTCCCCAGCCACTTGGACAAGCATCCTCTGGGGAAATCCCAAGGGGTTCCCCGGCCAGGTCCGGTAAGAAGTCCGCTCCGACAGCTTCTGGCGTTTTTAAAAAGTATCCCAGGGGCACGGTAAGGGTTGGAGATGTTTAGTCTATTTAATTTCTGACAATATAAAACGATTTCTTCGGAGGAGCCTGGGGATCGAATCCCGCCCGGGCCCTTGCCTCTCCACCTTGCCACACACACGCCGATGCTTGACCCCTACCTTAAGTTTCAGAGGAAAAGGAAGTCGTTCATTCAGTCAGAAAGGCAAACGTAGAACAGAGACAAGGCAAGGAGCGTAATTACACAACCATAAACAATCCTGCATCTCTACAAAACAAAGTGTGTTAGGAGGCCCGTCATTGATGTCTTGCTGTTAAAGAACAAACGTCGGATGCCCTGATTTTAGTTTAATCCTAAGAAAAATAAAGGCACATGGTGATTGATCCAGTTACTCAGGACAACCAACATTTTCTTTTTTATGTGGTGAGAAATGTATAAAACTAGAAAATCCAGTGATTATTATGCAAGGTTACACAGAACTGATGATAAAGAGTAAAATGGCAGAAAATTCAGATTTTATTCCTTCAAATCTGTGACTAAAATGAGGCACCCCTGCTTCTTACAGCTGTTGTGTTGGTGTTACAGCGCCCCCTGTAGGATAAAGGTGGAGCTTACAGCACCTGTAGGTGGTTTGAGATGGACGGATGCAGCACCACTCTTACTCCACTGACATCACAATGTAACAAAAATGTCAGGAAATAACGTCCTGCTGCGTTTATTTTTTATTAAAATAATTTATAAATTTATTGTTACATCAAAACACAGTCATGTTTTTCCTGTTTAAAACACACATGTTGATAAAAATGTAAATGACTGGGTGTGTGTGTGTGTGTGTGTGTGTGTGTGTGTGTGTGTGTGTGTGTGTGTGTGTGTGTGTGTGTGTGTGTGTGTGTGTGTGTGTGTGCGTGTGTGCGTGTGTGCGTGTGCACAACACCAACCTGTGCTGCACATGCATACTGCACCCTAGTGGAGGATCTACAGATCAGTAAATGAGATTTTTCTACACTCACCTAAAGGATTATTAGGAACACCTGTTCAACTTCTCCTTAATGCAATTATCTAATCAACCAATCACATGACAGTTGCTTCAGTGCATTTAGGGGTGTGATCCTGGTCAAGACAATCTCCTGAACTCCAAACTGAAGGTCAGAATGAGAAAGAAAGGTGAATTAAGCTATTCTGAGCGTGGCATGGTTGTTGGTGCCAGACGGGCCGGTCTGAGTATTTCACAATCTGCTCAGTTACTGGGATTTTCACCCACAACCATTTCTAGGGTTTACAAAGAATGGTGTGAAAAGGGAAAAACATCCAGTATGCAGCAGTCCTGTGGTCGAAAATGCCTTGTTGATGCTAGAGGTCAGAGAAGGGGCCGACTGATTCAAGCTGATAGAAGAGCAACTTTGACTGAAGTAACCACTCGTTAAAACCGAGGAATGCAGCAAGGCATTTGTGAAGCCAACACGCACAACCTTGAGGCGGATGGGCTACAACAGCAGAAGACCCCACCGGGTACCACTCATCTCCACTACAAACAGGAAAAAGCACCAGCTCACCAAAATTGGACAGTTGACGACTGGAGAAATGTTGCCTGATCTGACGAGTCTCGATTTCTGTTGAGACATCCAAATGGTAGAGTCATAATTTGGCGTAAACAGAATGAGAACATGGATCCATCATGCCTTGTTACCACTGTGCAGGCTGGTGGTGGAGGTGTAATGGTGTGGGGGATGTTTTCTTGGCGAACTTTAGGCCCCTTAGTGCCAACTGGGCATGGTTTAAATGCCTTGGGCTACCTGAGCATTGTTTCTGACCATGTCCATTCCTTCATGACCACCATGTACCCATCCTCTGATGGCTACTTCCAGCAGGATGATGCACCATGTCATAAAGCTCAAATCATTTCACATTGGCTTCTTGAACATGACGAGATCGGTCAGATCTGGGATATGGCCAGAAGACCCGTGAGCCTGATCTGGACTCCAGGGGGGATGCTGAACATCTTCAGAACCAAAATCATTTCAGTTTTTTTTTTTAGAAGAATATTTTATTTCTAAGCTTGTAGCCCTCAGCTGACGAGTTGTTAGCTGACCATTAGCCCCATCATACTGTCCCAATATAATTCACTAATCTATAGATAAAACAACGTGCTGCCAGTTGAACCGCTGCGTGTTTATATTGAAATAACTCCAGAACAAATTTAATCGATAGATCAGCAGAATAATTCCTCCTGACTGGGATGCTGCAGTAGCTCGCTAGCTTGTTTGTAGTAATCCAGGATGGTTGTGAGGTTCTACCGGTCTCTGGAGGATCTATTGTTGAAATATGTGGATCATCTTCTAGATCTTATCTGTGTGAGTGTGTCGTGGCTTTCCCAATTACTTTTCGCCTTGCTAACACAGTTAGCTGTGTTGCTGCAGTCATGCTAACAGGACTCGTCTGGAGTGCAGAAGGACCGGTAGCGGTTCCAGATAGATTTAGGTTATTATTTTAGGTCAAACCGTTAGTTACAATGTGTGTAGGACTCTGACATAGGGTTCAGACGTTTTGCTGCGACTGTAAACACAATTTTCTGTAATTATTGAATATGAAGTTGATTAAAATACAGCTAAACACGACGTACTAGCGGCATGAGCTGCCCTGTAAGACATCTTTTTAGTGACGTATGACAAACAGCTCTTCACTGTTTAGAGGAATTTAGATTTTTATGATGATTTATGACAAAATTCCTTAAAATTAATAACTGAACCTAGTTTATCTTGATGTAGATGGTAAAGTGTAGTGAAACAGCGTTAGTCTCAGTCGGCATAAGCAGCAGGGCCCTGCAGGGAATCGAACCCCGTCTCATTACTGAGAGTTCCGTTACCAGAGCCTTTTGCTTTGGGCGACCGGAGACGGTAAAGCAAAACCTGCATCAACAAAGCATTTAATGTTGGAACATAAATTCTGTCTTGAAGCAGGAAAAAAGAAACCGTCAGACTAAATAATTATTTCCAATTAAATTCATTTTAGTATTTTATAAACGTTTTACAGATTTAGAGCCTCCTTTGACTTTTATGCTTTTCGTTAACTTCTCGTTCTTTTACGATGTTTATCCGTTATTTAGTCGCGGTCAAACGCATCGTAATTTTGTTCTGCGGTGAATCTTAAAGTTATGTTGAATGTAAATAATCTGAGTCTTTATTGCTTTAATTTAACAGCACAGTAACTTGTTAAAATATTCAAGTTAATTTGAATCATTTACATGTTTAGACTATATTTTATTAGCCTTTAATATTTTAGTATTTATTGTTTAACTTTTGTAAAGAGCTATTTTTAAACGCGTGCACATTTAAACACTAAAACCTTTGTTTGCTCCGTCTGTGTCAGAGCTCTGCTGTTCAGCTCCTTCCTGGTTCCTGCAGGACCACAAAGCCCAGAGAAGCTCAGTCCAGCAGGACGTGAGGACACAAACAGACACGGAGAGCTCCTCCTAAACCTGGAATCAAACTTTTCTACAGATTATTTAGAACAGTTTCTTGTGACAGAACAGTTAGTGAAACAGAAAGGACCTGATGAAGATGATGTTATCGTCCTTGTCTTTCATACGGATCAAAGATCACCCCAGCTTATGCTCATGTCACCAAGTAAACGTCCCATTTCTCACTAAGACCTGCTCTATCTGCTCTACCAGATTATCAGAAGCATCACTGTAGTTGTAGTTTTGCCTCCATCTTCCTGCCCTCCTTGGTCTCTTGTTTATCTTCTACCACCTCTCACCATCCATCTCAGGTGGGATCTTGTTTGCTCCGACGGCCTCTTGTGTTCCAGGCTTACATCTTTTAGTGAACGTTAGAATATCATGTACTAATATATATGCATGTGTGTGTGTGTGTGTGTGTGTGTGTGTGTGTGTGTGTGTGTGTGTGTGTGTGTGTGTGTGTGTGTGTGTGTGTGTGTGTGTGTGTGTGTATGATGCTAAACCAGACTGCCTGCTCCATCAGATGAAAAGAAATCCTCTCAGGACCCAAATAAAATAGAAGATTTAGCAACCAGACACAGAAGCCCAGGTGAAACCGTCCACATCAGCATCTCCAGTTCTACCAGCTCTAAAAACACACTTCTTAAATAATAAAACACTAAACTCAGCCAACGGATGAAGACGTCCTGGTGCCAGATGCTACCTAAGACATCACCAGTTCAGCTGACTTGATAAAACACTTGGTGACTAAAACAAACATCTGGTGACCTGGTAAAAAACAGTCCTGGTGCAACAAGCTACCTGAGACAAACCTTTCCAGTCAACCAGTTCAAGAAAGAAAGAAAGAAATAAATGATCTTCATTGGTGCTGCACTGGAAAAAAAAAGATATCTCTAGTCCGAGTCGGAGTCGTCCCATCTTGGTCTCTTCGGTGGGATGTACAGGAAGCGCTCTCCAGTCCTCTTCTGGATGGATCCAATGACCGAGGTAGAAGGAGTGGGTTCTTCTACATCCTGGTCCTCTTCAGCGCTCCCGTGGGCAGGCCTGGGATCTTCTGGAAGCTCTTCCGGTGGGGCCGGAGGAGCTACCGGCAGCCAGAAGTCTTCTGGTGGTGGAAGCTGCTGGTCTTCATCGCTATCCAGAACTGAGCTACCATAACCAGAGTCCACACTAGAAGCCATAAAATCTTCAAAAGCTGACCAATCTGAGCTACTGTCAGTCTCCTCCAACTCCTCATCACTACTCAGACCCTCAAAAGCAAACTCTGCCTCTACTGGAGGAGCCTGACCATGACCTACAAACACCACATCATCATCAGGAATGTGAAGGGCTGGGTACCCAAAACCTAAATCTGACCGATCTGAGCTAATGTCAGTCTCCTCCGACTCCTCATCTCTACGCAGACCCTCAAAAACAAACTCTGCCTCCAACTCCTCATCTCTACGCAGACCCTCAAAAACAAACTCTACCTCCAACTCCTCATCTCTACTCAGACCCTCAAAAAAAGCAAACTCTACCTCCAACTCCTCATCACTACTCAGACCCTCAATAACAAACTCTACCACTTGTGGAGGAGCCTGACTAAGATCCACAAACACCACATCATCATCAGGAATGTGAAGGGCTGGGTACCTACCTTCATCTTCATTGAGAATCCGGATGACGTCCTCAGGGACCCCTGCAGTCACGGGACGCTCCACGATGAAGATGCCTGTGAGGACAAAACAAGACACATTAAATCCACTTGTGTCATAAAACAGTTACGAAAAAGCTACAATGACTTGTTTACAATACAAGAGAT